TTACTAATAGCTTCTTGTTACTACTAAGCGACTTGTCCCTTGTTACTCGTAAGAATGCTCCTGGTAGCGATGCCAGGCGATGCCCTTTGCTCCTACTAGTTTCTTGTTGCTAGTAGTGAGGCCAGGAGCCCCTAGTAGCGTCCTTGCTCCTAGTAGCGATGCCCTTTGTTGCTGGTTGGGTAAGTTTCACAGTTGGAGTTGTTGTCCAGGCCCGGTTCGTTGGAGATTCTTGTTTGGAAGATCACATCGAAATACATCGAATTTGAATCAAGTCGATCATAGTCAATCACTAGAAAACGACATGCATCGCGAGTCATGAGGAAGAGTCTAAAGGCCTTTAAGGAGGACCCAAAGAAAGGAAGAACATGAAGAAGCACAACGATTTCGAATGTGCAACGTCACTGAGTCAAGTCTCCAGTTGAGACCAAGAAGCTAAAGCTTCTTGAAGATTGGGACTTTCTAAGATTCGAGGACTGATGTACCTCAGCAAACGTCAAACAAATCCAGGCCACCAGGCCTATACACGAGAAGATCGGAGTGGTCTTCACTGAGTCTTCACCCACACCAAGAAAATAGCACATGCATCTCGCGCCATTTCTTTTGCTTCGCAGAGTTGCTTCAGGTCCTTTGTTGAAACATGCTGAAAACTATTTTTTCAGGGGCTGTTGCTGCCGACGGTCCTCTCCTGAAAGGAGGGAAGCAAGTGGAATCCTACAAGCAAAAGTCAAGCATTGACTGGTATCTCCCATTGATTGGTTGAAGAAGGCTCAACGGGAACCTAAACTTAGTATATATGCTTTCTGATTCTGAGCGATGCCCTTAATTATTTGTTACTAGTAGCGTCCCATCGCTCCTAGCAGTAAGGCCAGGAGCCCCTAGCAGCATCCTTTCTGCCAGGCTTATGAAGCAAACGCAAAGTTCCGAGATGCCCAACCCACAACCCTCAGTCCTCACAATGCTTTGACAAGATCTTCTTGTAAGTTGGGGTTCGCCGCCGCTTAGCCATCCAAACAAAGAACTTGATGGAGCTCTGCATTGGCGCGAACTTGTCTGACCAAGTTCTCCCACTCCTCAGTGAGGAACAACTGAGACTGCCATTCCAATACACTGGCTCATCTGCACTTCCAGCACGACCTCACCCTCTGTCTATCCGCAGACCAGCTGCCTAGAACACCAAGACCATCAACATAATTGGATACATCATACATCACCTGCCGCATCGAGATGAGTGCATCTCCTCCCAGCATTAGAGGGACTTACTCACATGCATGCCAAGAGTCCTCCTTCAAAGATCCTGCTTTGTAGAATGTCCGTAGGCCCTTCAGGGTTGAGTTGGTCCAACTACATGAGTTGCACAGCTATGTGCTTCCAATAGCTGGGATTCTTGTGGGTTGTTGTTGTCCTATATCGTTTATATATGTTTATAAGCGAGTCTTGCCACGTTGTGAGTGGGCGTTGTAGGTACGCGCACCCAGGATCACCATGAGCTCCTAAAACGCCTGCACCATTGGCTCTCACGCTGGAAGCGGTTGCCTCCAATCTAATAGCAAACTATATATTAAACCCTTCTTCCTTTTCATGTTTCTACGAGTTTCTATATGCGCGCGAAGGGTTCACTCGATTTGCCTTACCATCAAGCGTCATTGGTGGCTTGCCGAAACAAACACTGAGGTTCCTTGCAACAACACTGCCGGTTGAAGCTGTGATCAAGGCGTGCAACAACGGGCACCGGCATTGTGTATGTGCGCATTGTGATGCACTGTGTCCATGCTTTTGTGTGGGCACCCTTCCCACATGGAAGGCTGGGCTAGCTGGGTGTGGATATAATGTAGTGGCATCAATTTGGATAGCTTTTTTTGAAACTTTGAAGCATGTACAACGAGCAGGACATCTATCAAGCAGCAAGAACACCATTGAGGTTCGGTTGTAAAGTTCCACCCAACATCACCCAACACTAGTGACAAGAAGCTACTAGGAGCAAAGGGCATCGCTACTCGAGCAAGGACGCTAGTAGGGGCACCAGGTCAAGCCGCAAAAGCACCACTTCCTTCCCCTCCCCTCAAGCTGTTCCTAGTAGCGTCCTGTTTCCTGGCAGTTAAGGCCAGGAGCGCCCCTAGTAGTGCCCTTGCTCCAAGTAGCTTCTTGTTCCTAAGCATGCACCACCGTGGTGTGAAGACCATCCTTGATCAGCTGCACCACCGTGGTCTCACTTAACCGCTCGATGGCGGAGAAGGCCGCATCCTCACAAAGTGAAGTGAGCTCGAAGGCATGCGCTTGCTCAACCAGCGCCAGCTCATCCTCCAAAGTCCTTAGGGTAAACTCGGGTAAGCATCCATTTCCACATCTGCTTGGTAGCCGGCTAATAAAACCAAACCAAATCATATGAGCGAGGTTGCTCAAGGTGTTTGACAGGCAAGCAAATTGTTGCTAAAGAAGAAGGTGAGACTCAGATTAGCATCATATGGCAGGCCATAGCAATGCTTCAGCAAGGAGCGGACTACACCCTCGGTGCAAGGCAAGCTGATCTCACCTTAGAAAATCCAACACTGAGAAGAAGCACGGCATAAATATGCACAGCAATTTAATGCATCAACGTTAAAGTCCACAGGTTTACAAGACGGTCTACAAGCGCTAGGCTATAAGACTACAAGGTTGCTCTGTGCAAACATCCTTAGACTACTAGTAACAAGAAGCTATTAGGAACAAGTGCATCGCTTCTAGTAACAAGTGCCTTGCTACTAGTAACAAGGATGCTACTAGGAGCAAAGGCATGCTCTCAACCTCCAAATCCGAGTGGATCAACGACACAACCAACACGCATCATGGCATGGCTGCATGGCTGCATCATTCTGTGAGAGTCTTGCAGCTTGCACGTAATATCAGTCCATGACTCAGTTCATGCTATATAGTTCAGCTTAGTGCATTTTCAGTTCATTGTGACGTTGTAGTTGTAGCATGTTGCAGTTGTCGAGCAAGTCACCCAATGCGCCCTCTTTCATGGGCGAGTTCAGCATCACGCGAAACACCGGTGAGGCGATGGCAAGAACGGCACGGTGCGCCTTAAGTTCTGCCCCATCATTGCCTTGAGTGCGGATTCCGGTGCAAAGAAGCAACAATCCGAAGCCACAAGAAACAATTATGTATTGAGTAAAAACACTGAGACACCTTGAGAAACTGAACATCAAGCGAGAAACAAAACAAGTGTGATTACTACCGGCCGGGCAGCATCTCACTAAGATGTCGGCGAACTCCTGTCCAGAGAAATGATCAAACAGCTAAAGCAAGGTAGCAGTTGAAAGCAAACTGACGAATCTGTTCTTGCGTCGAGGACATTCTTGTCAACATGATGACTCGGAACATTTCGGATAGTGATGACACACACACACACAAATGCAAACGCACACGGACACACACACACACACACATGCGCGCGGGCGCGTTACATCTCTGCCCATGTTGTTAGCCTTGTTCACCCAAAGCCGCTCGGCCAATCGTCCTGCAGGGTCCGTCCAAGGTTTGAAGTAGAAATAAACGTATTCCAGCGCTTCCTCGCTTTGTATTTCGAGCTTGAGTACTCAAAGTATTCACACAACTTCACACAACTGAATACTGCAAAAGGTCTGACGGTCGGCTTTTGCCTTTCCAAGCGTAGAAAACCGGTTTCGTTCCAGGTGAATCCATTGAAGTTCCATCCTACACCTATAGTACTCTTGAAGTACTAAAACTAATCGAATACTTGCAGATTATAAATAACATTACTTACATTACTAGTAGTAACAAGAAGCTATTAGTAACAAGTGCATCGCTACTAGTAACAAGTGCATCGCTACTAGTAACAAGTGCCTTACTAGTAGTAACAATAAGCTACTAGAAACAAATGCATCGCTACTAGTAACAATAAGCTCTGTACTAACTGATCGAGGGGAAGCCCGGGGAAGCTGTCCTTCGTCCTCTCGCCGTCGCTTGAGGCGCTTCGTGAGGACTTTGATGCTGGCGATCCGCACGTTGCGACCACCACAGGCGGCGCGTTTGACACAAAGCTTGGCCCGTGAGGTCCGGGGAGGCAAAAGTTCCTGGAAGAAGCCATCGCTCTTAGGAGCGATCGGACGCTACTAGGGGCTCTTGGCCTTACTACTAGGAGCAAGGAAAGGAATCACACTGCTGAATCCAGCGATATCAAGCTGCTTTGGCACATGGAGGGTGGGTACGGGGGTGGGTGGGGAGTGGTTGCTTGATCTCGGACAATTTCATGCGGAGCGTTGAAGTTGGAGTCTTGATGCCGTGAAGGAATGACATATTTTTTCAATCCGCTTTCACAAAGGGAAGATCTCAAAGAGTAGCTGGCCTTACTACTAGCAAGAGGACGCTACTAGGAGCAAAGGGCATCGCTACGAATGGAACAAGGACGCTACTAGAGTGATAAGGGCCCAGCACTGTGCCCAGCGGCTCGTGTGGGCAAGGTAATAGGCTCTCCAGGGAAGGCCAACCACCAGAACTGCTCCGATTCAAAGATTGGAAGCTCGCCCTCAGTGGCACAGGTTGTTCTGTACAAGCATTAGCTGAATCTACCATGCCTAGCCAAATCTACCACAATCATCCATAATCTACGTGGGGACCCACCGCTTGTTTGAAATTGATGCGGTCCGGCGGCAAAGGGTTCGCCCTCTTCGGCGATGTAAAGCTGTACGTGTTCGGGGGTGAAACTGTCGACTCGGCGATCTGGTGTCAACGACAAGCTGACCTGCAGGGCGTGACAGCGGCGCTGTCGAAGGGCTCAACGCCATTCCAAGAGAATAAGGGCCCAACGCCATTCTAAGACCCCAAGGACAAAGGATGCATAAGGATCCTCTGTGTTTTTAGGGGAATCGTTGTGTCAACCGTTTAACGTCACGTCCAACCTGCAGCTGCGCAAGAGCCTTCCCTGGTGGGGCTCCAACCTCCAGCCAAGCGCTACCAGAATAGGCCTCATCCGACTGCCAGCAGTTGGGCAAAGTGATCTGAGCAGGAGTGAAGCCACCTGAACAAATGCAGGGCGAACAGCTGTCCTCCACACAGGCCCTGGCAATATCCCTTCCCTCCCCTTCCCTGACTAGCTGAAATAAGAAAGTGTGGGTGCTGATGTAACAAGGCGACGGCAAACCAGCCAATGAGCAAATGCAACAAAAATACATCAGTTGCAAGCTCTGGGGGTCGTTCGTCAAGGCACGATGTCCTTTCCCTTTGCCACGCAAAGGAGTGCGATGGGCCACGATATCTCTTCGTTCTTTGGGTCTAGATGCGGCCACCGACGGTCTCAGGAGATCTGGATCTCCTTGGAGAGCCAAAATGCAACATCCATTCAACTGCAATAGGATATTCCAACGTAATAGCAATGGCCTCCAACCTAATAGCAGTGGCCTCCAACATCTCCAACCTAGAAGCGATGGCCTCCAACCTAGTAGCGATATTAGCGGAACTGCAGCTCAACTACCGTGTACGTATCTCCCTCTACGAGGCTCTGGGCCGCTACAACAAACCTAACCGGAGAGTGGCAGCTAGCACTTAGAGCACTCCTACCCACAAACCTGACAAACCCAAAGCCAATGACCTGTCAGCAGTCTGTCGTTCCAAACAACCAGCAGTTTCCTGAACTTCAGCGGAGCTCACAGTACGCTACCTTTGGCCAATTCGGATTGAGGAGTTTGGGGTTAAAAACGTCTAAAAACAACCGGCAGGAGCATGCTGCATCTCATAAGCTAGACCATGAATGGTGGGGACTACTTCATGGGTTATCATCTGTGAATCCATGCAGGCCGGCCAGGCACCATAGTGACTTGCTGGGTTGCGATTCCATCAACACAGCCACTAAGGAGTCCCAACCTAAGAGCGGCCCCCAACCGCTCCGGGTCTCCAGAAGACACGCTGATGATAGCCTCATCAGTGCTATCCTGCATAGATCTGGCCCAACACGGCTGGGTAACAAGGTTCCGTCGCCTCAGTCCTGAGCTGTGAGAACTGCCTTTCGAACAAGAGTGGTTCCTACATCTAGTTGTAGGCCTTAACTACCGCTCACAACCACTTGCAATAGGCTCAGGCCCTTAGCAAGAAGAGTTTTACATTCTGGACCTTGGTTGACACATAGCGGCATTGATTCTAGCAAAGAGTTCACTACTAGGAACAAGGGCATCGCTACTAGGGGCTCCTGGCATCGCTAGGAGCAAGAATCTACTAGGAACAAAGGGCTTCGCTACTAGGAACAATAGCTACTAGCTAACTAGATGTAACACAGAGATCATCAATGCTTCTCTTTACTTCATGTCAAAGGTCTGTGATGAAAGGTGACCCTACAAAGAAAAGCACAAGGGTGCTCCTAGGGATGAACATTTACTGACAGTGCATGTTGCATTCTAGTGCGCCAAGCCCCTCCCATAAAACGCATACATTTCAACACTTGCATCTGCCGCCCATTTCCATAATGTGCAAAATGCATCAGAAAATGCAAATCTGGCGTCACCTGTGTCTACCTCCTCTCCCATTGCAAAAACAGGGCAATCAACATCAAATCATTCAAACCATACTAAACAATCAAAAAAGTCACCATACTAAACAACCAAAAAACCTTTGAAGTAAAAACCCAAACTAAAACAACGAAAATCAACAAACAAAACACAAAAACAATCAAACACAACAGCATTCTGAGACTCTCTGCTGCCACTACCCACGAAGCTAAACCCGGCCCCACGAAAAACATTTGAAATACCAGATGGCCAAGCATCCGCAACCCCTGCGCGTAGAAGGGGTCACGTCACATTGCGCCGCTGGGTTTGAGCCAGGCCACGAACATCCAATAGCACTTGATGAACCCCAAAAAGCCAACAGCAAAGAGTTCACTACTAGGAACAAGGGCATCGCTACTAGGGGTTCCTGGCATCGCTACTAGGAGCATTCTTACTACTGGGAGCAAGAAGCTACGAGGAACAAAGGGCTGATGAATCCCAAAAAGCCAACAGCAAGCCAGAAAGGCAGCTCTTGTATGTTTGAACCATGCTGAACTTTGGAGCCCCGGCTTGCCAGACATGCTCTTGGTGAGGCGGCCGCGATCTGCAAGCAGGATCATGCGGGATTAATTACAAAACCTCAACCTATTCTATCTTTGCAGAACAGATCAAATATATATATATAGTGGGCTCAACAACTACGGTGGCGACAAGAAGATACTTTGTGTGTTGCCTTCTGCGAATTAGCACTAGCATTTCATACTGCAGGGTTTCGAGTACAAGGCGACTACTCCGAAATCACCATCCATGAGGTCGCATGCAAAATCAGACAGGCATTCCAATTTTTGCTGAAGGACGACTCATCCCAGCCGTGCCCTGGGACATTTCATGCTACATATGTCAAGTCATTGGGCAGAACTTTGAGCCCTAGTGCCATAGTCAAGGCGGCTCCCTTTTTAGATCAGGGTACATTGCTGAATCTTGCACAGACACTCCGAGCCGGTGCTGGTCGAACGATCAAATCCTGGCATATTCCCTTTTCACACCTTGACTGAGTTTTTCGACTCACTGCGAATCTGCATGTGGGGTTCAAGCGTATGGTCATGACCAAAGAGTCATCCATACCGTCGACGCAGACCGTCCGACGAGCGAGGTATATATATATATTATCTTTTGTACCCCACCATAGATATATAAAGGCATTCAGCAACTCAGTCACGCTCAGCCTGATGGCAACGGACTCCCGTTTTGCTCTGGACCTCGATCCAAGAGTAAGGTAGCGCATGGGAGAGGGAAACAGGCTTCAACCCACTGATCTGTTGACCGATGAACATGCAAATCTCCAAGCACCAAAGTTGCAAGCTCTTCTTGAAAACCCCTTCTACAGCTCTTGATTGATTTGATCAACTTTCCAATTGAGGGTGGAACTGCCAAAGCTGCTTGAGGTCATCTCCGTCGACCTCCACATGCAATGCTCACACGGTCCACGGAGTCCACATACCAGGCATTCTGCCAAAATACATCCATTCAACAAGTTACAAGCTCGCTGTCGCAGGCCAAAGCAAAGTAACTTGCCATTGAACCAATGAAAGCATGAATCAAGAGTGGTGGGAAAAAAACACCCTGTGCAACTGCAAAAAGAAGAAGTTGGTACTGTAGCAAACAACAACTTCCATTCTATTGCAATCCTTTCAAATCCAGTCTGTTGGAGTGTTCATGGCGCGGAGCGGGCGCGGAGCGCCTGTGTTCAGCACCTACGTGACGGCCATGGAGCAGCTCCTAAGTGGATCGCGCGGTGCGGCCTTGGGGCCTTGGGGGTCTGTTTGGAATGAGAGATCCTACAAGGAACAAAAATAGAAGGGCATGGGCCTGGAGTGGAGTGTTGCACCAGGCAAACCCAACAGTATCTTGTAGAGAATGAACAAAACAGATTGTTGCCATTACTGCTAACATCACAGACCACCGCTGACATCAGACCTTACCAGCTCACAAAACCTATTCGCTGCACCGGTCTGACACCGAAGAGAGGGCTCAGGCCATGTTGGTCTGACACCGGTCTATTGGTCTGGCCATTGACATCTTGTCGAGGCTCTGTTTTAAAACAAACGGCGCTAAATTGGGTCAAGCGGCTTCAAGCGTCGCGATTGATTGGAAGCGTGCGAACACAGTGTGAACATAACGCATTTGATGAAAGGATATGAAAGGAAGCAAAATCGTTTGAGCTTTCCGCGGAGCAAGGGATATCAATAGATGCTTGTAAAAGACCAAAGGATCCAAAGACCAAGAAAAGGTAGTGAAAAACAACGGGAACATGAAAGAAAGTACTACTAGGAACAAGGACGCTACTAGGGGCTCCTGGCCTTACTACTAGGAGCAAGAAGCTACTAGGAGCAAGAAGCTACTAGGAGCAAGGGCATCGCTACTAGGGGCTCCTGGCATCGCTACTAGGAGCAAGGACGCTAAACAGCCGCGTGCGCTTTGAGGCAAGACGCCAACGTGTCCAGCTCTGGGGACTCTTCTTCAATAGCCCGGCGCACACGCTCTGAGATTGACTCACTGAGCCTCGACCGAAATCGGTTGGACGAACGGAATGCGAAGCGAAGTGGTGATCGTGATCATCTAAAGGGGAAACATCGTTGCTCTTATTCTTTGCACTTCTTTGCCAATCGGCTTACAGTTCGGCTTACATCTGGTTGACCTTTCCCAGTCCAGTGGATCTAGCTGAAAGAACTCAGCATCGGTGAGGTACCATATGGTACCATGGTCTCAACATTTTGGCGGCCAAGCAGCTCTTGTTCCGGCGAAGGATGGCTGTGCACGTAACCTTCCAAACAGACTTGAGTCCAACGAGCTCGCTTCAATCAGGTTTCCGGGCAAGACAGAACGCGGCACGGGCAATGTTGAGCTTGCAACGGATCCAGAAAAATGCCAGGCAATTCGCCCCATATTCGCCCAATTTAGTAATTCCTTTCGTCCCTTTAGTTTCCACCAACCCATGGCCATGGCCCATGCATCGCCATGGCTGAACCCAAATTCTAGACCTATGAAGCTGACAAGAAGCGTCCCTTGGCTTCATGGAAGGCATCCTCCACAATGCCGATGTTGATATTCAGAATCACCTGAAACGACAGTTTGTCATCAAAATTTGTGTCTTTTGTTTCTTCAATAGAACCGTTATAGATATATAACTTATTATTGTTCTTTTGTATTTCTACTCGTTTCTAGATATATAACTTTCTTTACTTGTTTTTGTGTTTACTTTTCCATCTTTCCTTGCCTTGCCTTTTCTTATGTGTTGTTTCGTTCTTGAATTCTGCTCGGAATCGCCTCAGAACATGAAACCAACAGATCCTAAAGATCCCAAATTCGATGAGAACTGTGAACATCACGTGTCTCGTCATCTCACGGGTGATCCCATCAACTCCCTTGACCTGAGACCTTGGGCAACCGCATCTTCCTGAAGCTTGCTCCCTCTGCTTCCATGGTGTCTGACGTTTGTCAAAACGTCATCAAATAGCAACCAGAAGCAACTATATACATCCTTGTTTGTTCTTCTGTTCTTTCCTTTTTATATTGACCTTTACATAAACCCCCCTCTTTTCTGCTTGTCTCTCTCCCTTCATCTTCGTTCATTTAGCTAAATTTGTGGGACTTAACTCTCCGCCATTCTTCCCCATTCCGGAAAGAATGCGGGCCCAAGTTTGCCATGAGATCTCCTGGGGAATTGCGCGCAAGACTATAGAGCGGAAAACGACTGGCCATTGATGCTGACAAAGACACATAGATGGCAAGGAAAATAAAGACATACAAATACGCCTGGCACAAGGTGACTTGCTTGCCACCAGAATGAAGAACCTCCGTGTAGCAACAACCTGGCCCTACAATCATGCCTTTTAATCCTTCAAGTAATGATCGAGTGGAGGTCCCCTTCAGTTGAACACCTTTTCACAGCTAGGCTGTGCTACCACAGCGGCATTCAAATGCCAAGCCACCCTCAAAAAGCATTCTGCTTCTCATGCCTCCCTAGCTGTGGCCGTGAAGCTAACTGAGCAGCTAAGCTGTGAGCAGCTAACTAGCTAAGCTGTGCCTCATAAATCCCGTTGCACCGGCCATCGGAGGCCATTGGAACCCACAATTGGTGACACCCTCAGGTTCCACGGCATTCCTAGTAGCGTCCTTGTTCCTAGTAGCGAGGCCAGGAGCCCCTACTACGTAGCTTCTTGTTCCTAGTAGCGTAGTTCCACAGGTTCCACGCCTGCAGCAGAATACCACCCACCGATCGGACTTCTTTGAAGGCGTCGTGGATGGAGTCGCCGTTCCTTGGCTTCCCCAACGGCTTCCCCAACGGCTTCGGTTCGCTCACGGTTTGGGTTTGCACACGGGTCATACGGGTCACCTGCAGCCTCACGGTCGAGCTACCTCAAGCCGGCATGTTCCGAGGCATCGCCAAAGCTACGCCAAGCTGCATTAAAGAGAACAGCATCTCCGCAGCACTCTCGGGGTTTTGAAACATCGCAGATTTCCAGAAGAGGCAAACACCCAGCAAAATAAAGGCAAAGAAGAACCTGAGTTCCGGCCCGGATGAACTACGATTGGCTTTGAGAAGTAGTTGGTTGAGCAAAAGGAAAGTCTGTGGCATTTGGTAACTCGTGTGGCAACATCTTTTGCAACACACCGGCTAGCTGTTCAATCCATTTGCACATACTTTTGCACATATATGTGCATGCTTCTTTGCATTCGCATCCTCTTTGCAAGAATGCCAGCCGGATGAAGCATTGATAGCACTGAAGCTCTTAGCACTATCAGCTGTCGCATCCGAGGCACGGTGCAACGGAAAAGAACAGCTGCAAGATCCGGACACCACCACGAGAAATGGTGTGGAAGGCGATGAAATAGCCTGAGTTGTTGCTTTTTTAGGGGGGAGGCCGCTAGGAGGCTAGGTAGCTACTAGGGAGAGGTCACTAGTAGTAGCTGTAGGTAATATATAGCTACTACTTAGGACGCAGGATAGCTGACGCTCGCACTATTCATTTGATTCCTAGATATTTTAGGGAAGCTTAACTAATAGCCTGAGCTACATGCTTCATGCTGCTTCGAGCTCCCTTTGCACTCGACTTTGCTCCACCTCCAATCCACTTCTAGTTTCTCAGCTGCTCATGCCAAGCGATCTGCTTTGAACATGGGCACTTGAGGGTCGTTCGCTGTCGTTCTCACCCGACATTGGCTAGGAAAGCTTTTCCGATAGCGATTCCAACCTAAGAGCGCTCCAACCTAAGAGCGATGGTGTCCAAATATTTGATCATCCAAGTGGCTAGGAAAGCTTTCGAAGTACTGGATCATATTCCTCACCGTGCTCAAACAACCCAAAATGATGCCTTCAGTATCAGTAACACCCCGGAGACACCTTACCTGGCAGGTGCAGTTTTGCAATCTTTAAAGGCATTGAAGAACCCACCTTTCGAGATCTTTCAAGTAAAAATGCATTAACAAAAAAGATTGAATCTAAATATATATATATATATATTATATATATATGTTTAAAACATGTGAAACAAAACAAAACAACACAAACAGCCAACATGTTGGACTTTCTGAGGGAGAAGAAGACATGTCGGACGCTACAAGTAGTAGGTTGGAGGCCATCGCTCATAGGTATTTCGGACTCATTTCGGACTCCTCTATGAAGCCTATCATGGCCTGAGAGATCACATCTCCGGTTGGGCCCACAGATCTGCACCAAGCGTCATCCAAGTGCAAAAACTACTAAACCCCACCCAAGTGAAGCGGAGACCGATCTCCGGTTGCGATGAAAGACAGAACGCAGCAGCCACCTCAAAGCAAACAGAACTGTGACATGTCGGTCTATGAGGTCAGGCAAGCTATAGCTTCGCTATGCTTCGCTATGCTTCGCTATGCTTCGCTCTAAAGACCATCACAGGTTGGGAAGTGCCAAATAACATCGAACACCATCAGTCTGACTCCGTCTGTCCTTCTCAAATGACTTGTGAACTGGAAGCTAGATTGCCCAGCGATTGCGTTACAAATCACAGCAACTGGAAGCACTTGAAACAAGAGGCCAATTGAAGCAGATTGGAGAGCACAGTGACTGCCCACCTTGGATTGCGATAGTCTCAGCAGTGAGAGAAGCAGTCATCTGTCATGCTACCCGCCTTTCATAGCTATGAGTCTATGAGTCTATGAGTAATGGCACATCTAGTGCAAAAGGATGGTCACCACACCCCATAGAGCCCAAGCCCAGGCTGCGCACACCCCTTTTGAGTTCAGCATCCGATGTAGAGGATTCAATGTAGTCAACATGTCACAACTCTCTAAGCTTTCAATGTCGAGCAGCCCAGCTTTTGTGTGAGCCCTTGTCTGGTGCAAGTTGCTTCACTCGCCACCATGGAACTGGTGGTCCCTCCTTAAACATTTGGTCGGGTCCTTCCAGTCGCACAAGTTGCTGAGCTCCAGTATTACCAAAACCACCTATTGCGGCGTCTCACAATCTCACAAGTCTCAGCTTTCTGTCCTGCAGTGCGCATGGATTCATGCGAATCAACACTTGAACTCATGTTTGCTTCCCTCATGGACATCAAAGCTGCTAGATTGGCAACTTAAAACCAAATGGCCTCGTGTCAAATAACGGATGTATTGTTTGTGAATTCTCGCTTGCACTCGTCCTCACATTGACATGGTCAATTTGTTGTCCAATGGCATCGTTATATAATGCCATTGATCTCTATTCGAATAACCCGACCAAAAGCCCAAGAAAAACACATGCTCCTCGGGGCCGCCTTCGCAGCCTTCGAACGCTTCAGCTTTCGCAGAATCTTTTCGATTTCAGGACCACGGTTGGTCATGAACTTCGCGGCGCCAAAGACATCCATGCCTTAGCTCCGCCTCACCCACTCGCTTCACGAAAGAGTGGATCGAAGAGAGTCTTGCGAACAATTGAGTGGCCAAGTCCACTCCTGTCCATTGGCACAAGGGTTGTGGTGGTCTCTCAAGGTCAAGGCTACCTAGCGACTGTGACTACTGAGCGGCCAATGGGCAGTTACGAGTGCTCTAGCTGCTGTTAGATCAAGCGATGGCCTCCAACCTACTAGAGATGGCGTCCAACCTAGAAGCCTCTAGCTGCTGTTAGCTCCTGAAATCTTAGACAGTGGGAGTTGAGATGAGTGGAGGTGCCAAGCAAATCCTTGCGAATCAGGAATGGCACACACCCTTCAGTCGCATAATGCCAGCGGCGAGTACTTCTTGGTCAAGCCGTGTCCAGCCTTCTTGAGCAACATGACATGATGTGACATGCGTACAATATGGTACATCGCTCTTAGGTTGGAGGCCATAGGCCATCGCTATTAGGTCACCATGATGTACCATGCACATCCATGCACCCAGCCATAGCCACATGATGCCACATGCCCAGCTTTGAACTTTCTGAGTTGGTCTTGCAGTGCCTAGCTGCCGGAGGCATCCTGAGCTTCAAGATTGCTACCACCTGTCACGACCAACAGTTCCAGCATCTTCTCCACCTGTCATGTGGTGCAGTTTGTTGTGCTGGTGCTTCAACCAAAACGCCATGGTCTCAAGAAAGGCCTTCTCGGTGGGCTTGCCACCCACATGCTCAATTGCGACCAAAAGAGGAGTGCTCCCATCACTGTTTTTACCTGCAGCTCTTGAACGGCTCTTATTTTATTCCGAAAATGCCGTCAAAAAACAACAGCGGCTGAACGGCTAATATAGCAACTTTATCATGCTGATATCTAGTCTATACAACTGTCGCAACTCCAGACCGAAGCTTTGTCATGTGTCTTGTCCAAACCGAAGAGAAATCTCTTTCAATCGCCGTCTTGAAAACAGTATTACCTATGTAGTACCGTAGACTGTAGCACTTTGTCTACTTCGTGAGGCGCGGCCGCCAGGGTGCTGCCACACTGGAGCCTGGCGATCTGACCGGCAAACTTGTCCTCCATGATGGAAAGAAGCCTCGCCATGATTTCCTTGGCCAAAGTAAGCTGTCCCAACGGTGAAAACACAACACCAGACATCTGGTCTTCTTTGGACAGCTCTTGCTTCCACACATCACGGAAGCAAAAGGTTATTGACTTGGCTTTGTAGTGCTCTGCAGGACATGTCAGAACCTATCCACTCAGCTGAACCACTACTTCCCAGCCTTGTTCCTACCAACTCACTGCGAAGCTAGAGTCAATGTGCCCTTCTTGTGCGGCCAAATGCAGTGGGATCTCATTGTCCTGAAGTTGCAGCAGGCTCAAGCAAAGTGACTGCAGTCTTGGACTTGCTTCCACAAACCTTTCCCAGAGTTGTGCAATTGTCCAGTAATGTGCTGTGACAATTGTTAGGCCGCCAGGCCTGGTTGGCACCAAAAAACACGTAATACCAAACACCAAATGCCCAACATACTAATCGAACCACCTTCCAAGTTTGAGTTCACAACTGATAGTCTGAAAATAACAGCGTGTTGAGTAGGGCAGGTGTCTCTACAAGTGCTGAATGAATCCAAGGATCTAACGATTTGGTCGTCAGCAGCTTGACATACCTCAGGGGCGTGAAGTGCCACACCGTGCGCTGGACGAAGAACTTTAGAGATCGGCAAAGGTTGCCATTGCCTTGCCCATGGACATTGGGATGGAACTTGAGCGAACACATTCCAAACTCAAGTAAAGTGGGTTATCAATAAAAAGGACACCCGGCAAGTGGCCTCGGACCCTGTAAGAACCCTAAACTTCATAGTTAATCTCAATATATATTCTATAATTATATATAAAACTTATACTATATAACTTGTATTTACAAACAGGCTTACTGGATTCAATCAGGTCCCCGAGCTTTGCATGCAAGATGCGCATTTCGCAAGTCCTTGTCATCACCGCTCTGCTTCGAGATAACCGCAGCGACTTCATCAAGAACCCAATCCAGAATCTTCAAGGCATTGTTTCCGACCTTATTTTTAGTTGGACAACCAAATTCAGCTGAATTTCTGAGCGAATATCAATCAGATTCTAAGCAGCCCAATGGTCTCTAAGTGGGCCACCACAAAATGCAATATTGACCAGCTGAAAGCATCCTGAGTCAAATCTGTTTTGGATATGAAAAAGCGGCGTTGACTGGACAAGCACAAGGGCAATCAGAATACCTCACATAGGTTATTGCAACTGAAACTAGTGATTGTACATGCCGTCTCGTCGCGGCACTGGCCGGGAATCGTCGCGGCACTGGCTGGTCACTTCCAAGCGGGAGTGACCGAGTGACCAGGTCACTTCGCGCCACATCCACCGGTGCCACTCTGCCGTCCGAGGCTCAAACTTGTCAGCTGTGATCCACGACATCCTTGGAGCGTCGAATGGGCGTCGAATGGCAAACGGCGAAGCGGTCGAATGGGCCTCCCTCGAAGGGCTTCGAAGCCGTTTTGGATGATCGATCCAGATCCGTTTTGGGGGATTGAAATGGATTGAAATGGATTGAAGGGGTTCCAAAACCTTGATGCTTGAAGTACCCCCACAAGGGCAATCTCAACAAACCTAGGAGAAAGTGTGGCCCGGCCTGGCCGCGTCCATATGACAATTTTGGGATACCTCTTCCACAAAGGGCATGTGCATTCTATCGCTGATAAAAGCTTAGCCTTGGATTACCAAAGGATATTCTTTCATGCAATGTTAATGAAACATTAATTAACTGTTCGATCTTCCTATCCCAAAATAATTGGTCGGTCTAACCCTGTTTTCTGTTTTTTGGGATGTCTAAGCTGAAGTCTTTTGCGCCAAAGGTCAGGTCTTCCACCCCGGAGTCCGCAAAAGCTGCCTTGAAGGCCTCCAAGTCATCTGCTTGAACCAGCCTTCGCCATGCAGGTGGATCGCGGGTGGATCGTGAACGCTGTCCGGCACGTTCCCTACAAAAAGGCGCAGAGGGGCGTTGTGATTGCAAGCTTCCGAACTTCTAGATTCAAGCTTCGCTTCTAAGCAAACGACTCCCGCGAACACAAAGCCAACTGCCTTGACAGCTAGTCTCTCTGACAAGTCGCTTCTCATGGGGGAAGGGCTTCACCTCTAGCTTCATGGCTGGAGGTTGGCCGCGCGCTGACTATCTGAATTGGTGCTATTGAGCTGAGAAAGCCTTCCGCACCTCAAGGGGTATCCTTCGATTTGACAGCTCGGGGGCTCGGAACCTAGATCGCTGCTTCCGGGTGACTTGCCATTCCTGAAAAGTGGCTTTCCTTCAACGGCTCAACGAATTCTTCACTCCTGTGGACCTCAAAGGATGTCTGATGTCATTCCAATGAGTTGATGTCTAGTCTCCTAGTAGCGATGCCAGGAGCCCCTAATTAGTAGCGTCCTTGCTTCTAGTGTTGTCTCATCAACTCATGTTACGCGAGTCAATATGCCGAGATGTTTCTCAAAGAGCAAACTGAGACTTCTGTCTCGGTTCCTCTGCCTTGATCCGAAAAATCTGCAATGGTCTCCAGTGCCCCAGGCTTGCCAAACATGCCAGTACCCACCCATAACAAGCCTTCCAGTAAGCCTTCCCTTACCTTGTCCATAACCTTCAAAAGCCAACAAAACACTGTAGGCACTACAAACACCCGTCCACTCTGTGTTGCAGAATCAATTCCATGTTGGCGTGGGAACCGTCCCCAAATCCCCCAAACTTCCATGCAAACCAAAACTCCAGGGGAGAAATTGCAACCCCGAAGCAAAACAAATTAACCTTTCAGAAAATTTCAGGAAACCCAACCCCCATCAACCACACAGTGCCTGTGGCCATCTTCAGTCAATTCAGCTTCTTGTCACAACATCAACGGCATTCCGGCATTCCGTTGTTGCAACCATAAATGCAGCACCCTAATCCCGAAGATTCCCGAAGTTTGTTTCCCTGTCATCTAATGCTCTCTGAACCTCTCTGCTGCTGTACTATTCATATTTTCGCCGGGATGCCAAATGCTCATCATGGAGGCCACGTCACGGTAGCTAAGGCGTGCCCAAGTCCTTGGTTCTGTGCTACGGTCGCGTTGAAGACTTCATGATGACGTGCAACAAAAGCTCTCAATGTATCTTGAATCTTGATGGTTCCAATGTGCAAGTTGTGACAAAAGGTGGCTCAGTTGCTTAGTGTTCTCTGTCAATCTCTGTCATGCACTGGTGGTCAACATGTCAACACAAAGACCCAACTTCGTCCCACTCACTTCCGCTCAAGTCCTACTGGAGTTCAGCAGGAACACAATAAACGCCCCTTAAGGGACAAAGGCCACCTCCATGGTACTAGCCGGAATGTCAAGAGTCTGTGAAGACGAGCGGAACTGTCTGATGACCTTGATGCTCCTGTCACGTCGCCAAATGGAAACCATTGTGGTCAATAGCAATGGCCTCCAACCTACTAGCGGTGGCCTTCAACCTCATAGCAATGGCCCTCTTGGTTTAGATCTCAGCATTGAACATACAATCGCGATTGGTACCTGTTTCCGGCTCTTACCCATGTTCATTGCCATCGGATCATCCCTTGCAATCTTTGATCAATGGCACCGGCAGTTGATTAAAGTTACACTCATGAGATCTTGCTTTCTGCACAGTCTGCCCTGTGGCACTCCGCCTCCAGACTGCCCCTAGTTCCAGAAATCTTCCCCTACCAGCGTGGCACTTGTTACTACTAGCTTCTTGTTACTACTAGTAAGGCACCTGTTACTACTAGCGTGGCACTTGTTACTACTAGCTTCTTGTTCCATATCCTCCCACTATCCTCCCCAACTCTCATGTCTCCATTCACCAGTAACAAGAAGCTACTAGGAACAAAGGGCATCGCTACTAGGAGCAAGGACGCTACTAGTAGCTCCTGGTCTTACTACTAGGGACAAGAAGCTATTAGTAGCAAACTTCACATTGTCTCACCGGCCGCTTTCGGCCCGCTTTCGGCGTGTCATGGACTACGTCCTGCACACTTTTCGCGCCACAAGGAGGAGGGATAGAACCTCGACTCATCGAACGCTTCGCACATCACCCCAACTTTGGCCTACAGGGCGACCGGAAATGACTCGTGTACACTTTCTACAGGCAAATGAAACATGTTCTCGGTTGCTCAGGCTGATTGCGATGGCTTTGGCAGAATTGATAGGATCTGATAGAACTTGGATGAACTTGGAGTGCTCACGGCACAACACCAGAATCCACAATAAGTCCCAATGATGCAGACAAAGGCTCAGCAAAAAAAGCCACGCAAACGGACATGAAGTGCATCAAGTGCCATTCCTGAACTCTGCGCGAGCAGCAAGAAATCTATAAAAAGGGACTCAAGTCATTCTCATCCATATCAAAAAGGTGAGAAAAAAGGACTGCTGGGGGCCGGGGGGGTAGCGTTTCAAACAAAGTGTCAAACTAGAGTCGATCTGTTCAACATTCAATCTTCCATTGGTAGAAAAGACCGCAAGTCAGCATAAGCCAGCAATCGCTGGACAATGTGGTGAAACCGTAAAACTCACAGTTCTCACTAAAAAGCTCAATGCAACCTACTAGCTCACTAGCGCTGGCCTCTAACCCTTAGTAGCTTTGGCCTCCATGGCCTCCACCCTTAGTACGTAGCGATGGCCTCCAGTTTGGGGTATAGTTTTCATCTGCCCATCCCGCCTTGCCCTGACAGTCTCTGGCCTTGGCATCCTTGGAGCATCCGCGAACGAGCATCCACCGTCCCGCTGAGCGAACGCCACGAGTTCACGAGCGGACGAACGCCATGGCTGGTGGGTCAAAACCCCCTGGTTGACCACAGAAAATGAACAGAAATGGACTACCGGGAGGTCGATCCTCCACATTTCAGAGCTCCAGGTTTTGACCCAAAGCTATCATGCCTTCATGATGGCTTTCGCTGTATAACCTTCCAGTCATTCCCATTGCTTCGCAAAATCCGTTGACCTGGACTATTGGACAATGTTGGGCCTGCTGTGGAACATGGCTAGTTGCAATTGATGACAGCACAACCTGCTAACTTTGTTTCAAAAGTAAATTACCTTGCCCAATGATCTCAACCGATCGGGGCCCCTGAAACAATTCGATCAAACCTTCTCCACCATGATCAAAGGTCGGACAATGGGGTAGAGGATGATCTCAACCTGATCTTACTCCGTCCAGAAGCTCCAGAAGTCCAAGTTGGAGTCTAACATATCTATTGAAATCCGAGGACTCCGACCAACAAATCCAAAGAGGTTGCTTACCTGGCCACCCCCTCTGCCGCCGACCGAATGGCATAGTTCAAACGCCCAAAACCGTAGAGACCCGCCGACGCGGACGCTGTGCGACCCGTGCAGTTCAGGTAGCTAAACGGGTCACGAAGTCGCCCGCCGCGTGGCCATCGAAGACCGTGAGGAGCTCCCAATGATAGACACAAGTGAGGCCTCAAACACATCATGATCAAATGATCAAATTGCCCATGATCAAATGATAGAACACATAATCAAATTGCCCATCCAAATGACAATGCGAAAGGTATGTCAATATTTTGTCCAAGTGTCAGCAGGCGTTGGGAACATATATTGCTTCTACTTATCTATTGCTTCTCTGTCACCTGAGTTTCTGACAGTTCTTGTCCTGGACATTTGCTAAGTGACACATTGGTGCATGCACATCGAAGTCTAACAAATCCTGGTCATGAAAGGCCCTACTTCCACGATCCTCACAAGGCCAAACAACCTCATGACGAGCAATTCCAGTCTGGAAAGCTCTGTTGGAGAAAGGTTGTTTCGGATTTCGGTTGAAACGTGTGGACTTTCAACGACGCCTGCGAAACTTGACCGGGCGCACCTGGCCTTATTTGTGGCTCACTAGTAACAAGGTTCGCTACTAGGAGCAAAGGGCATCGCTACCAACGGAGCAAAGAACGCTACTAGGGGCTCCTGGCCTCGCTACGAACGGAGCAATCCGATCGGACGCTACGAATTAGGGGCTCCTGGTTCGGTCTCAGTTGGCTCCATCTTCGCACCACAGTAGAAACAAGTGCCACGCTACTAGTAACAAGTGCCTTACTAGTAGTAACAAAGAAGCTATTAGAAACAAGTGCCTTACTACTCGCAACAATTAGAATTAAATTAAGACTAATAGCAAGGCTGTCGGTCCCTGGCGGTCCTTTGAGTTCTTATTGCAGTGGTTGCCCAGCTCATCCATTCCTGGGATGTGGCGACTGGGCCCGAGTTGTTCTCTTGTCTTTTTGGGTTTATGGCTAATCTGTTTAAGACCCGCTCTGCCCTGCCACCCCCTACAACTTAATCAACTTAATCAAGCAAAGAGACTACCTGCTTACTTATATAAGTTAGCTACTAGCTACTGGACGCAGGATTGCAAGAAGCTTCTTCAAGGAAGCTCGCCCGGCCTGAGGGCGGGAGCGAACTTCCTTGAAGAAGCGCTCGCACAAATCATTTAGTTCCTAGATTTTTAGGGAAACTGAATCCCAATGGGTTGGGTGATCACCGGTTTGCTGTTCCTGTTCAAACCCAGCTTCGTTGTATCGCTTTGATCTCCCGCAAGGTTTGCCTCAACGATGCAAACACGAGAGAGTACGCAGGCGAAATGCATCACCTCTCCTTTTAGGTTTATATAAAGTCTTGAGATCGCGGATCGCGTGGTTCTTTTCAGGTGCTGTTCAATTCAGACCGGCAAAACCGAATGAACTGGAAGGCTGAGGGCACGTCAGATCGTCCACATCGAACAATAGAGGGAAGATTTCCTGCAGCGTCTTTGGTTGGGAGATGTTGGGAGCCTAGTTGCTCCTCCGTCTGGAACCCCAAGCGCATTGGCGATGCTACGAACGGAACAAAGGGCATCGCTACGAACGGAGCAAGGACGCTACTAGTAGCTCCAGGTATTACTACTAGTAGCTGGAAGCTACTAGGAACAAAGGCCATCACTGCTAGGAGCAAGGACGTTACTAGTAGTTCCTGGTATTTTACTACTAGTAGCTAGAAGCTACTAGGAACAAAGGGAATCGCTACTAGGAGCAAGGACGCTACTAGTAGCTCCTGGTATTACTACTAGTAGCTAGAAGCTACTAGGAACAAAGGGCATCGCCACTGGAACGCCAAGCAC